GCTGCCAAAAGTGCTTCAACAAAGTACTGAGTAAGCGTCTGAATACTTATGTAAATGTGATATTTCAGCTGTTTTCTTTTTATACATTTGAAAAAAAATCTAAAAACCTGTTTTTGCTTTGTCGTTATGGGCTATTGTGTGTAGATTGATGAGGAAAAACAATTTAATCCATTTTAGAATAAAGCTGTAACGTTACAAAATGTGGAAAAGGTCAAGGGGTCTGAATACTTTCCGAATGCTAGGATACATGAGGTGTGTGACTGATTTGAAAAAGTTGAGAAAGAAAAGGCATGTGCTGTTTCTTGCCTTACTGCACATGCTGGGCATCATTCACAAGTGAAATACTAATATTGTCACCCATCAGACTGTTAATTTAATCTTGTCTTAACATATGCTAAATAATATAGTGTGAAATTAGTTTCGATTTAGAATGGACCATTATCATGCACCTGTCTCGGAACAGGGGCAGGGGAAAAAAGACATGTAATCTATGCCTTAAATAGCGAGTGGAGGTTGCTTTTCCCGTGGTTCATTTTCATGCCAGCCAGGTAGGCTATACACCTGTTTTAAAGAGAAGCAATGTGCTTAATATTAGGAAAGTTGAGAAATAAATATAGTAGGCCTAGCCTATAGAAAGCTGATGGGATCCTCTTTAATAGAGTATACATCTGGCCCTTCATTGGACACTGTGTTAACAAACCTCCAAACGAGCTTCAATGCCATACAACACTCCTTCAGTAGCCTCCAACTGCTCTTAAACACTAGTAAAACTAAATGCATGCTTTTCAATCGAACGCTGCTGGCACCCGCCCACCCGACTAGAATCACCACTCTCGACGGGTCTGACCTAGAGTATGTGGACAACTACAAATACCTAGGTGTCTGGTTAGACTGTAAACTCTCCTTCCAGACTCACATAAAGAATCTCCAATCCAAAGTTAAATCTAGAATCGGCTTCCTATTTCGCAACAAAGCCTCCTTCACTCATGCTGCCAAACATGCCCTCGTAAAACTGACTATCCTACCGATCCTTGACTTCGGCGATGTCATTTACAAAATAGCCTCCAACACTCTACTCAGCAAATTGGATGTAGTCTATCACAGTGCCATCCGTTTTGTCTCCAAAGCCCCATACACTACCCACCACTGTGACCTGTACACTCTTGTTGGCTGGTCCTCACTACATGTTCGTCGTCAAACCCACTGGCTCCAGGCCATCTATAAATCACTGCTAGGCAAATCCCCGCCTTATCTTAGCTCATTGGTCACCATAGCAGCACCCACCCGTAGTCTGCGCTCCAGCAGGTATATCTCACTGGTCATTCCCAAAGCCAACACCTCCTTTGGCCGCCATTCCTTCCAGTTCTCTGCTGCCAATGACTGGAACGGATTGCAAAAATCTCTGAAGCTGGAGACTCTTATCTCCCTCACTAACTTTAAGCATCAGTTGTCAGAGCACCTTACCGATCACTGCACCTGTACACAGCCCATCTGAAATTAGCCCACCCAACTACCTCATCCCTATATTGTTATTTATTTTGCTATTTTGCACCCCAGTATCTCTATTTGCACATAATCTCTTGCACATCTAGCATTCCAGTGTTAATACTATTGTAATTATTTTGCACTATAGCCTATTTATTGCCTTACCTCCATAACTTGCTACATTTGCACACACTGTATATATATTTTCTGTTGTATTTTTGACTTTGTTTTTTTACCCCATATGTAACTCTGTGTTGTTTTTATCGCACTGCTTTGCTTTATCTTGGCCAGGTCGCAGTTGTAAATGAGAACTTGTTCTCAACTGGCTTACCTGGTTAAATAAAGGTGAAATAAAAATATATAAAAAATTAGAGGGACAATAGAGTGCTGAGTACCAGGCAGTTAGCAAGTTTGGTAGGCTACTAATGACCATCAGCAGAATCAGAGCTTGGAGAAGCCTAATTACCATGGAATTTGACTGCGGTCATGACTCGTGAATGCCGGTGTGGCGGTAATACGGTCACCGTAACAGCCCTAGTTGACACTCAATATTAGGAAGGTGTTCCTAATGTTTTGTACACTCAGTGTACATGCATAACTACTTTGTTTGTCAGGGCGCCAGTTTGAGCAGCTGCGGGAGCGTCTACAGCAGCACATAAAGACCCTGCCCAGGCTGAAGCCCTATACCTGGAAGAGTGTCCTGGGCTGTGCTGTCATGGGCTCTGACATGCTCTGGTACAGAGGAGAGGTGCTGGAGGTCATCGGAGGTCACGTTAAGGTACAGACACTTTTTGTGAAAAGATGAATACTGGGATTTTGAACAGTTTTATACAAGTTATGTCTACACATATGGTAAACTTACGAGACCCCAACCTATACGTGTGTGTGTTCCAGGTGCGCTACGTGGACCAGGGTCTAGTGGAGAACATCCCAGTGTGTCACGTCTACCCCACGGTGCTGTGTGAGGACATTCCCCAGCTCTGTATGCCCTGCCAGCTGCACGGAGTCATCCCTGTGAGTGGACTAGACTTCAGAATCACAGTTTTTCAGTGTTCCATCTTAGTAGCTTCCTCTCCTTCATCTGCAGTGATCTGAAAACTCAGAATAGGTGTAAGCTGTAACTTGGAGGGGGCTGAAAAGGAATCTTCTACAAGGTGAGGTCTGACCCCCCCCCCCCCCCCCCCCCCCCCCCTGTCTGTCTCTGTGTTCAGGTGGGCAGGACGTGGCAGTGGGATGCTGTGGCTCTGCTGAAAGAGCTGCTGCTAAACCGCTGTGTGGACATGCAGGTCATGGTGAGGTGGACACTACACACACACTCAAAGATGGTATGTTAGTGCTTGGGGGAGATGAGGTGATCCTGTCAGTTTGAGTAAGTGTAAGTGTCTTAGTATAAGCTGCAGGCAAGGCCCTGTATCAGTTGTGCATGGACTCACTGACCTGATGATGAAATGTGACAAAAATGACTGTGTGTGTTAGGAACTGCCTGAGGACCCTCTGGGCTGTCTGACAGTACAGATCTCTCTGGATGGCATGACTCTAAGCAGAATCATGGTTCACCACCAACACGCCTCTGTAGACCAGGCTATTGCAGCCACGCAGGAGGTAGGGAGGGGTGGGTATGTTACATTAACATTAACCTGGTTTCAATCCTTCCTCTTTTTTTGAAGAAGTCTTGATCCAACACAATTGTCTAAATCAACGTCTGTGATTTTCCTCAGGAGCTGGTGGTGTCATCTCGCCTAGATCTAGACGACTGGGACATTGACACAGAGGTACGTTGGTTATTCAGTGCCATCTGCATAAGATGTTGTTTGAAATTGCCAGTATGCACACTGCGATATAACCTGCCAATTACATTTGTTTATTTGAGTGTGAGATTGTCAGTCATCCCCACTGCTCTGCTGTGTTGTCCTGTCCTATGTATAGGGGTTGGAGGACCCAGAGCCAGTACTAAGGGTGTTCTCATACCCAGACCTGCCTGAGAAAGGAGAACGCTTCCGGGTCAGGATCAAACACCTCCGGACCCCCAACGAGGTACTACTACTTCCCTACCCAACTGTAATGTCAACTCTGAAATGATTTGTTATGCCTTTGCAATATTTTTCACTTTCTCTACTGTGTGTGTGTTGGAGGTGTTCCTGTACCCCTTAGATGGCAGTAGTTGTGAGGAGTCTGGTGGGGAGAGTCTGGAGGAAGCTCTGAAGAGAGTCCATGACAGGATGGACCGTCTGGCCATGCTCTCGGACTTCTCCATTGGTAAACCACAAGCACTTTCCATGGACTAAACTTCACACTTAACCCTTAATGCTTTTACTAAATCATTTTCATAGGGTCTTGTAACAGGGACTTATAACGAGCTAGTTGGAGTGGTAATGTGCTGACTTGTTGATCCTGTGTGTCCATCTCTCCAGAGGCCCCGTGTCTGGCAGAGTACAGTGATGGGAAGTACTACCGGGCCAAGCTGCTGGGCTTCGCTGGCCTCAACCCTGTCAAGGTCCTGGTCAGACACGTGGACTTTGGCTCTGACGACACCCTGCCCACACACAAGTAAGACTCATACTTCACCGTTGCCCAATTCTACTGGAGATTGGAGCATAAGTAAATCCCATTTTTGTGCAGATTGTCTATTATATTGACAAGATAGTCAAATGACAGCTCTAACAATGGAAATACATGTCCTCAAAGATGGAAGGCAGGCTGAAAGAAGGCGAGATCAGGTGGGACCATTCTAGCCAATGAGAGGGCAGATATGCATGTGAACAACAGGCAATAGAGAGAGAGAGCAGTGGTTCCCAACCCTTTTCGGTTACTGTACCACCAACTGAATTTTGGCCTGCCCGGAATACCCCTGATTTACCCCCTCGTGCATTTTACCAGTAAGCCTATGGTCTCATTAGTCTTCTCAAGTACCTAGTACCCCTGGTTGGGAACCGTAGAGATGGAGGACTCATCTTTGTATCTGTGCCATTATAGTGTCTGACAGCATGGGCAGTGCCATTGAGGCCATCTCCATTTTAAAGTAATCAATTTTCATTGGCTGATTGCTCCCAACTCATAGAAATCCCCACCCTGTTGACTACTTTAAAATGGTGGAAGTCCTCAATGGCAATGTCCACGCTAAAATGGGTTACGGCCATGACTCCTCTCTCTATGACAACAGGCAAAAAGTAGTTTTTTTCAATGTTGCTGAAATGCGTTGTGCGTCCATTTATATCAGTGCATTCGTAACACCCTAACCATTTCGAAACTTCTATTAGGTCAAATAAGCCCCACATAGCAAATTACATTTTTCTGTTGACCAAATTGACACACTCATTGACCTCCATATAAAAATTCCTTACTTATTTTCGTGGACAGATTTTGGGTGGAGTAAAAACCTCTGGCTTTTCCTCTTCCTCTCTGGTTATGGGAGGTAATATGGTGGGGTTTTTTCTCCCGTCAGGCTGCGTCAGATCCCGGCCCATCTCCTGCGGTTCCCCTGTAAGGCCATCAAGGTGCGGGTGGCGGGCTTCAGACCCCCCCGCCTCAACCTGGAGAAGGAGCGCCTGTCCTACCGGCCAGAGTGGAGCATGAAGGCTGCCCTGGAGATGATCGACCTGCTGCACAGCTGCTGCACCGCATCCGTTACCGTGAGCAACATCTGCCTTTAGTTACCCCCGTCATATCAGTGGCAGCCATAAGAAGCTGGATAGACAATGACACATTAAGTGTGGTCATGGTTATGATAGTGGATTATTGGCTTTCAGCGTCACTGTGGTCTCTGCACAACAAGGGCGATAGCAGCAGAATTGTTGTGTGTGTATTGTGGTTACTCACAGTATACCGTTCACATACCATTCATCCAATAAGGTCATTGTGAGATGGTAATCTTGGTGCTGTTGGTCATCTTCGCCAATCATGATAATGAAGTTTTAGTGATAATGGTGTTTCCTGGTTGTCTCAGGCCACTGAACCTGAGCTGTCTGTGTTCCTGTATGACGAGGATGGAGCTCTGGTCTACCTGCCTCTGGTGGAGAAAGGACTGGCTGACTTTGACTGAGACACACTACAGCAAGAGAGAAAGGTGGGTTTGGCTCTCACTCAGGAGTAGTGTTGCACGGTATACCGGTAATATCACCGTACCAAAACGTCATGATACTCATGATACCAACGTTTTAGAATACCGTAGTACCATATGATACTACCACATTTTTCAGCCCTACCGATCTAAAAAAACCATCTGGTGCTGTTTATAACATTCTTTATAGTTATCTTTTATTAAGCAACAGTAACTAGTCTCTTGCGTCAGTCCAATAATGTCCACATGTGGCAGCTGTAATCAGCCAGCCGCATCCCCTACCAGCCTTCACTCACTTGTTTCTCTCTGTCCGCTCTTCCTGCGCATCTATTCCTCCATCAGTTTTTCAAATATAATTTGGCTGTGAAGGCGCGCGGAGATGCAGATCTGTTGTTACATTTGTACATTTAATACATTGGAGCAAGGCGCAGAGTGAGCAAAGTTGATACATTGTATAATTTCATTGCCTGATATGACCAAGAGCACAAGCCAGTCTGAGTAGGCTTTGCAATTGCAAGTTCGCTGTCACGTAGCCTCTGAGCACCGCTTCGCGACAGGTGTGCTTGCAGCTTTACAGCAAAGAAAACTGTCTCTAGCCCAAACGGTTCCAAAAATATGACCCATATTTGCAGAGCTACTTTTTTTTTCCTTCCTGCACGCATTTTAGATAATTTAACAAACCATGTCACCGGCCGTTTTAAACTAATCCTGGATTGCTAATTATTGGTTTGAAAACAAACATTGTTCAGTCATGTTACCTAGCTAGCTAACAACCTGCTAACTTGACAGTAGGTCTAGGCAAATTTGATTGGCACAGGAAGAAAGTAAAGGGTCTGCTACTCATGAGATGTGCTTCAAAGGCAAGTATGGATAGCTACAGCCCAATATGGCAACCGGAGTATGGGCGAGTGGGTGTGTGTCGAATGGAGTGGGTATGGAAAGCGAATCAGCTAATCTTGCGTGGCTGTTTGGGCTGCACGACTAGTCGATAAGCCGGGTAACTAACAGCCATTTCATTCCTACCATGATTTTATTTCAAGTAGGATAGTAGCCTACACAATAAATAACTAGTATTGATAACCATACAGATGCATACAGTCTACTACTCAATGGGGAGGGCATGAACGGCAACAACACCGCGACACAGTACTCTTCGCTCCTGCTTGACAAACACTACTGTCCAGCAACAGTGTGGGAAGTAGCTACCTAGTAGCCAATATCAGGGTGACAGTCACAGTAAGCATACAACATATTGGGATGCACTACTTCTCAAGGTAGGATTCATATAGGCCTAATGTAAACCTAAACTATATCAGAAATTCTTTCTGGTGCTCCTTAAATTCTGTTCGGTGCCTAACGCTTTTAAAGTTGGGAGCAGTGGGTTTGTGGGAGAGTGAGTGGTTTGAGGGAGACTGTTTGTTTCATGCAGCGTTTTCCCCTTGCTGCCACAATGACATGCAGGATATTATGCATGTACGTATCTTCCTTCCATTCCTCCAGCGGAATCACAGGTAGGCTTTTGCAAATCATCCATTCTATGCAGTATTCTTTTATACAGTTAATTAATTACGTGTTGTATTGAGTAGAAGTGTGAATGAATATCAGCTACAGGTTTTTTTGCGTAGCGCATAACGTTTAGAAAACGGGAACAAGCATTCGGGGGCATCATATCGTTAGTAACATTTTAGTATGGTTACAACACTACTCAGGAGTGCTTTTCAAAGAAAGTGTAAAAATCTGTTAACACTAATCAGTTTGTTCAAGTGAGCGACGTCAAGTCTTTCTGTAGTCTGAATGTTATCCAGTACACTTCACTTGGTAACCTTTCTCTCCTTTGACCCCTCCAGATATCTGCTGTGATGTGGACGGGTTCCCTGTTCGTTCTGCATTGTGAGAGAATGCTGCTTGAATATACAGTACATGTAAATCTTAACATTGTTTTATTTAAAGTTTAGATGTTTATTTAGCAGAATGTAGCTTTATTTTCTAACTGAAATACTGTCTGTATGAAGGGTACAGAAGTATTCATTGTTTTCATTTAAAACTGCTTCAATGTCTCAATACACTCCCTGAATGTGCGCAGTGATTTGATAAACATTTTATTTTACAAAATAAATGTACAATCAGCATGTATTAGACATTTTTACAAATAAAACAGCCACTCGCACTACATTAAACTCACACAAACAAATGTTCAATTGTGATTCAGCCTTAGCGTAAACAGTCCTAGGGCCTGTTGTCCATGACAACGTTGCCGTACTTGTCTTTGACTCTGAGGCGTCCGGTGGGGTAGCGGGTCTCTTGTCTGCCGTCTGTATAGACGGTCTTCAAAGTGCCATCTGGGTACTCCCTCCTTTTATAGTCTGCTGTGTGGACCTCCTTCTGGCCTGTGTTGAACTGGATCTCCTTACTGCCATCCCTGGAGGAGAGGAGAATGTGAACATGAGGACAGTGGTGAAAGATACGAGAGAGACGCACTTAAACCACCCCTAAAACCACTGACTTCACGAAAGAGACATACAGAGATTGGGAACTCTTCATTTTATCAGATCAGATGCATGTCAGTGTAGAGAACATGGATAGATACAGACACAGATGTAAGCTCCATGGACTTACAGGTTAACTTGTATGATGGTCCCGTCAGTGAGCACACTCTCCTCCGTCCCATCTGGATACAGGTTCTTCACTGTCTGGTCAGGGAATGTGATTTCCTTACGACCATCAGGGAAATGCTTCTCTGCAGAAGGAAATGAGGACTTCTTATACACGTTTTGGGTCAGAACAGGGTGGTAGAGAAGGGGGGAAATTAAGTTGATTAATTAAATGTTTCCATTGAATAAATGCAATCGATCAAGTCCCACCGGTCTGGTTGTTGGGGAACTGCAGAACCTCAATGCCGTCAGGATAGGTGGTGTGAGTGGTCTGGGCATCAGCATAGTAGTAGATCTGTAAGAGGACCACATTAGTTAAGACCCTACCACACAGCTCGGGGATTCATTTGTTTAATATCCCATTTAAGATATCTGCACCACTGATTAAGAAAGGTGTTGAACCAAGGCCAGGGAAGGGTCACTGTCAGTAACTCACCACTCTCTGGTCGGCCATGACCTGCTTGATGTCCCCGTTGAAGAAGGTGACTTTGGCTGTCAGTCCGTCTGCTAACACCTCCTTCCTGGTCCCATTGGGAAAGATGATAAGTCTCCCGCCACAGGCCAGCACCCTCTCCATCTTAGACAGGAACACATACCCCAGTCAATGTAGAGCACTTTCAGATCCTGGAAAAGCACTACATACAGTACCAATCAAAAGTTTGGACACCTACTCATTCAAGGGTTTCTCTTTATTTTTACTATTTTCTACATTGTAGAATAATAGTGGAAACAAACTATGAAATTACACATGTAATCATGTAGTAACCAAAAAAGTGTTAAACAAATCAAAATATTTGAGATTATTCAAAGGAGAGACGCTTTGCACACGCTTGGCATTATCTCAACCAGCTTCATGAGGTAGTCACCTGGAATTCATTTCAATTAACAGGTGTGCCTTGTTAAAAGTGAATTTGTGGAATTTCCTTCCTCAATGTGTTTGAGCCAATCAGTTGTGTTCTGACAAGGTAGGGGTAGAATACAGCAAATAGCGCTATTTGGTAAAAGACCAAGTCCATATTATGGCAAGAACTGCTCAAATAAGCAAAGAAACGACTGTCCATCATTACTTTAAGACATGGTCAGTCAATTTGGGAAATTAAGAACTTTTAAAGTTTCTTCAAGTGCAGTCGCAAAAACCATCAAGCGCTATGATGAAACTGTGTCTCTTGAGGACCGCCACAGGAAAGGAAGACCCAGAGTTACAGCTGCTGCAGAGGATAAGTTCATTAGAGTTAACTGCACCTCAGATTGCAGCCCAAATAAATGCTTCACAGAGTTCAAGTAACAGACTGCGCGAATCAGGCATTCATGGTCGAATTGCTGCAAAGAAACCACTACTAAAGGACACCAATATCTAAAATTGGGATGAGTTGGACTGCAGAGTGAAGGAAAAGCAGCCAACAAGTGCTCAGCATATGTGGGAGCTCCTTCAAGACTGTTGGAAAAACATTCCTCATGAAGCTGGTTGAGAGAATGCCAAGAGTGTGCAAAGCTGTCAAGGCAAAGGGTGGCTACTTTGAAGAATATTTGAACACTTCTTTGGTTACTACATGATTCCATATGTGTTATTTCATAGTTTTGATGTCTTCAATATTATTCTACAACATAGAAAATAGTAAAAATAAAGAAAAACACTTGAATGAGTAGGTGTCCAAACTTTTGACTGGTACTGTAAATCCATTAATACAATCCAGTCATATACACTGAGTGTACAAAACATTAGGAACACCTTTTTCCATGAGACTGACCAGGTGAAAGCTATGATTCCTTATTGATGTAATCTGTTAAATCCACTTCAATTAGTGTAGATTAAGGGTAGGAGACAGGTTAAAGAAGGATTTTTAAGCCTTCAGACATGGATTGTGTATGTGTGCCATTCAGAGGGTGAGTGGGCAAGACAAAAGATTTAAGTGCCTTTGAACGGGGTATGGTATATGTGCCTGGCGCACCGGTTGTGTGTCAAGAACTGCAACGCTGCTGGGTTTTTCACGCTCAACAGTTTCCTGTTTGTTTCAAGAATGGTCCACCACCCAAAGGACATCCAGCCAACTTGACACAACTGTGGGAAGCATTGGAGTCAACATGGGCCAGCATCCCTGTGGAACACATTTGACACCTTGAGTCGATGCTGTTCTGATGGCAAAAAGGGGGTGCAACTCAATATTAGGAAGGTGTTCCTAGTGTTTTGTAGACTCCGTGTGCATTATTTAGAAAGTTGGGTCAATGCGGTTTCTGTCTGATCGTTCCGAGAGCGCCACTATCTCCTCCATAGCTGTTGCTAAGTGATAATTGATGCTTCCACCTTGTGTTGTTTATTACTGATAGGTTTTGAAAACTATGAAGATGTCCAGTGAAAGCAGATATGCAATTTGTTGACACGACAACACAGTACTGCCTTGGATACCCATTATCACAAATGCTAATCAATAACAACGCCTGTTAAATTCGCTGCTCCATTTTGCTTGTTTACAGTAATTTCATAGGGAATTGTCGGTGGCGCTCTCGTATTGTTATATCAACATTGAGAATAAAGGCGCAAACATGCCGTCCGTTCTAAAACCGGGCCGAACTCTTAATAAAATGTATGGCTCTGAGACAATACCTGCTTTGAGTGACAAACTGAATTCAAAAGTATTTTCACAAAATTCCCTCCCAATCCTCATCCCGCCTCACCTTTCCATCAGGATGGATGATGACATCCTGACTTAGCTTTTGCTGCTCTTTGACCTCTGTGGACTCAGTCTGTAGACCTCGACCCCTCTGTGGGTAAAAACAGTCTACATTCAAACACCACAACAACAATGGTGGTGTATACACAGAGATCCTATTAAATTACTATGGGTGTATAGCATTATGGAGGTTATTTCATTAAATCATTAAAAAGGCTAGTGATTTATGTCAGATTTACATTTTAGTCATTTAGCAGATGCTCTTATCCAGAGCGACTTACAGTTAGTGAGTGCATACATTTTCATACTGGCCCCCCGTGGGAAACGAACCCACAACCCTGGCGTTGCAAGCACCATGCTCTACCAACTGAGCTACAGCTGCTAGTGAACGTGCTACTGTAGGTAGCATCACTGGCCAGCAAATTACAGAGCTGGTGAACTGGGTAGCGCAAATGTTAAATTAAGGTAGCCTGCCACCTGTGCGACTAACATTAGCCAACTAGATACTGACCACCAATCTACAGACGCGACAATCAGAGTTGCAACTAAATGCTTTGAATGGTGCTATTATGGTTATGCTTACACGCTAGTACGGTATAAAATGCACCCCTTGGCACGTTCACTAGCGGAGTGAGGATTCCTTGTACCGGTAGTTGGCATCTGTGGTAATCCTTTTTAGACTAGGGGACGAAGACGCCGATCAAGGCTACAACCAACTCCGTATTCATGCTGCTAACACACGGCATCCCAATTTGCTACAACTGCATCCGTTATAAAGAGCATTTTGGGATTAAATGTGAACGATGAAGGCTGTGTGGCCGTAACTCACAGGGGACAGGTTGTGTGAGTGGTCGTGGCTCTGTGCTGGGTGGTGACTTCTGGTCAAAGAAGATGGTTGTTCCTCTGAGCTGTAACTGTGAGCGGGACCGGGTGCTGCGGCTGGTGTAGGGGCTGACCTCTTTAGGATGCCCCTGATACCTTCTGTTAAAGATAGACAACACAATGTAGAACAATACCTCCACATATAACTGAATAAATAAATAGCATTTCTTGATTTAACTCCCTTTGTTGAGTCCATGGAAAGTATCATGATTAGTCCATATGTAGCTGCATTCCTTGTACCTTGAATGGCAGGGCTGCCTCTACAGGAGATACTGCTCTGTGGTGGGCTGCTCCTCACTGTGTCAGGACTCTGAACACACAAACTGCATTAGTCCAACAAATGACAGAATTTATAACCGTCGTGTTGAATTCAGAACACAGAGAATAAAACAGGAAAATCACAAAATGGTGGTAGTAGTAAATCTGTAAACTCACTGCTGATTTGAGGTCCCTGGCTCCAAAAGCAATGTTGCTGTCCAACGGCCCGGGTCCCTCCCGCTCTCTCTCCTTCTCCCGCCTGTCATCCTCTCTGTCGCTGTCCGTCCCAGTCTTCCTCCAGGTGCTGAGGCGTAGTTTCTCCAGGGTGCGGACCTCGTCTCTCAGGGCGCTGTTGTCTGAGCTCAGGGAGTCTATCTGCTGCCGGAGACGGCTGTGTGTGGTGGACCAGCGGCTCTCTCTCCGCTTCAGCTCCTCCTGCAGGGAACTCTGCTGCTGCTTCAGGGCCTGAGGGGTACGAGGCAGGGTCGTTGGGGGATACAAGACCTGTGTGTGTGTCTGTGACAGGTAGCCTAACGGTTAAGAGCATTGGGACAGTAAGCGAAAGGTCGCTGGTTCGAATCCCCGAGCCGACTACGTGAAAAATCTGTTGCTGTGCCCTTGAGCAAGGCAATTGCTCCTGTAAGTCGCTCTGGATAAGAGCGTCTACTAAATGACTCAAATGTAAAAATGTGTCTCACCTGGATATCATCGCGCTCCCTCTTGTCTGGTATGGCCCTGGCGGCGGAGGCGTGCTTCTCAAACACCTTGCGTTCCTTCTGTAGCTTCTTAGTCTCCTCCCTCTTGAACTCTTCAAACCGGGCCAGCTCCTCAGCCTTCCACTGCTCAAACTCTGCCCTCTCCTTCCTGGAATAGAGACAAAATCAATGTTTTTCAGACACTTTTATACCCAATATTAATCAATTTAATATGGGGGTTACTAAATATTCATTTTGTAACAATGCCATTGAATGAGGGGAAAACTGTCCCATTCCAGTTCAGACCAGATGGTTGATACCTGAGATATTCCTGGTTTTTCTCGTTCTCCAGTCTGAGTCTGGCCAGGGCAGCATTCTCTGTCCTGAATCGTTCTATCTCCAGCTCCATCTCCACCAGCCTCTCCCTCAGCTGCCAGGACTGCTGCTGCTGGCCTGACCACACACACAGAGTTTAATGCTGGTGCGACCAACTTTGGAAGGGAAAAAAAGTTGGAGAGCTGCTGTTGAGGTGCTCCCCTGGGTTAAGAGTGTGTTTGCACTGTCTCTCTCACCTGGTCCATCCTCAGTCTTCCTAGGCTCTGGTTGAGGTGGAGGAGGGACCTGGGTCTTGGGCTTCAGTGAGGGGAACAGCCTGGCCATAAGTTGGGAGGCGGGAGGAGGATCTGGCTCCTGGTTGGCTGCTGTGATAACTGACACTCTCTCCAGCTCCACCCCTTTGGCCACAGCCACCTTTCTATTCAGCATCCTCTCTGGGGGTGAGATGTCGTTTCCTGTTACTGTGAGAGTGTGGCTGTTTCCTGTAGCAGCGCCTTTTGTTCTGCTGTGGTCCTCAACGATGCTGCCAGCCTCCTCCAGGTCATTCCAGGTGTCATCGTCATCAAACACCAACCGACCCTCGCGTTCCCCCTCTTCTCTGTCATTCAATAGGGTGGAGTCGTCAAGTTCACTCTCCCCACCCCCCTCTGCCTGGCCTGAACCCCCCTCTCTGTCCTGATATGACCTCTTGTCGTATGGAGGGTTGGATGTGGGGAGCGGGTTTTCCCAGAGGTTGCTGGGAAGTATAGTTTGGTACGGCGGTCGGGCTACTTCCTCCCGATCCCCAAATTCAGAGCTACTGTGGAATGAGACATCAGAGATTTCCTCATGTTGTTTGCGGTCACTCACTTCATCTTCCTCCTCAGTGGCTTTGCTGTTTTCCCTCATCACAACCTCCTTTGCCCTCACAGCAGATACTCCTGGTGATTCAGAGGAGCTGGTCCCTGTGCCTAGGCCACTTTTACTGGTGCCTCCGCTGTGAACCCCTTTAGTTGGCGAGGGTTTGGGGGATTTGATTGGAGTGGAGGACAGGCGTTGCGGGTGGCGCCCCCAGCTGCCATGGAGGGGGTGTTGCTGGTCCAGCTGCAGCACCTGTAGGTTTACATTTAATAAGCAACTGTGAGGATTCATTTGTGAAACATCCCCCAAAAATGTATGCCATACATTATAAAAAGACATTACAAACCTTCATGACGAAGGATGAGTTGGAGGAGAAAGAGAGCTCCTCGGCTGCCTGCTCCAGCAGCTCAAACTCTCCCAGCTCCACACACTCCTTGTGATGGTCACAGTCCCAGCGCTGCAGCTTCTCCTGAAATGACAGCTCAAAGGAATACTCTGGAACAACGCCTGGTTTTCCCTCTGCTGCGCCATCCGGTCTCAGTGGACCAATTCCATTCCTCTGCAGGGCCCCAGTCCTCTCCTCAAGCCCAAACTGTTTAGTTACAGCTGCAGGAGTTCTATTCACAGGCTGAGAAGTCCCACCCACCTTGTTACTAATCACCTCCCTAGGTCTCAGAAGGTCAGATGTCGCCATGTTCGGTCTGTGGTGACTGCCCAGGACTCCGGGTCTCACTGAGTCTGGCTGGGCTGTCTTGCTCTCTGGTCTGCCACTGTCCAGGAGGGGTGAGCAGGGATCTCTGGGTCTGTTCTCCTTGTTGAGCACAGAAGTCTTGCGCTGTATGGGTGGCCACTGACTGACCCTCTGGGTGGGCTTGGACTCTGAGGTCCAACGGGTGCTGACCTTGCCCTGGGGTTTGGGGTCTTTTTGGGGTCTCCGACTGTTGGGTAAAGGAGCTTTGCTTCTGTTGGCGAATCTGGAGAGGCCCTCCCCTCGCCTCAGGAAGGCCCTTTTGGGATTGGCTCTTGGACTGGCTCCCTCAACTGCCTCTGGGCTCTGTTGGGATGGAGAGACAGCTTAGCATTAGCAATGTTGCATGCCCCCCAAAAAAGGGAATGGTACTGTAGCTCCAAAGACCACCATACCTAAATCGACCTCAAACTTGTCACTTGGGTGAGCTACCCTTTTAGTCTATCTACAGCCCATATTTAGTGTAGTGTAGCGATGATAGGGTTAGTCTCTGACCTGCTGCTGCTGGGTGGTCTTCAGTCTCTGCTCCTCCAGTCTCAGCTGTTCCTCCAGGAGCTCCTCAAACGTCTGCTTCTGCCCCTCTATTCCTGGTTTAATGGGTCTGGAGTAGAGCATATAAACACATAGCTAAATCACTTTGTAGTCTGTACTGTAAGTTGACTGAGAATAGTGAAATAAATAATGTTTAGATGTTTTCATCTCAAATATGAAATTAAACATTTACCTGTCCTGTGAGTTTAGTTCACTGTCATCTCCTCTGTATGCTTTGCAGTCTTCAGTCATAGAGGGAGCAAAATGGGGGGATAACGTGACTTCTTCCATCTCCTCATTATCACCCATATGATCAGCATCCCCACTCAGCTGATGTTTGTGTGGACTGCTCCATGCTTCTGTCCCTGTGTGAGTTACAACAGAGTTTGAGTCAATGCTCATGTAAAAGCACTTTTAAATGCTTTTAAGCACCTGGGCACATTTGACATTTTAGACATTTAGCAGACGCTCTTATCCAGATCGACTTACAGTTAGTGCCTCCCGCTTAAGGTATCTAGGTGAGACAACCACATATCACAGTCATGGTAAGTACATTTTCCCCCAGTAAGCACTTTTCCTACCCAGTGTTTGGTCCTGATACTCTTCCTCCTGCTCCTGGCCCCTTGGAGGCTGCTGGAAGGTAGGACCCCGTCTCCAAAGCTGGGAAGACACAGGCCCTTGTGGGGGGGCCTATAGGGAAGCTCTGGGCTGTTGGGGGTCTGTGAGAGAGGGGGGCGTCCCCCAATAGAGTGCCCTCTCCCCAGTCTGTTCCCGTCAACCTGGAGGTCTCTATGTAATCTGTGGGAAACCACACAGTCTTGTCAAACTCAATAACTGGAGCTTCCTGCTCCATCCAGCCTGCTCAGTAATACCACCGGAATAACATCAATGACACAGCAATAACAGGGAATGTGAGCGTGTTTTCAGTACCTGCTCCATCCTGTTGAGCCACATGCACCATGCTCAGTAGCCCCTGTTGCTCCTCCTGGAGACGGACCAGCTCCTCCAGCTGGTAGGCTCTCAGCTGCTCCTGCATGTGCTGCTGCCACTGCCTCAGCTAAAACATGGCACATTACAGTACCAATAAGCACTGCTTCAAAATACAGCACACAACATCAATAATCAGTGCCTCAATTACAACAAAGCATTTGCCTAGATAACAGCACTACAGGCTGCAGTGCTTATGTCCTTGTTGTACAACACTAGACATACAGTTGAAGTCGGAAGTTTACATACACTTAGGTTGGAGTCATTAAAACTCATTTTTCAACCACTGCACAAATGTCTTGTTAACAAACTATAGTTTTGGCAAGTTGGTTAGGACATCTACTTTGCATGACAAGTAATTTTTCCAACAATTGTTTACAGACAGATTATTTCACTGTATCACAATTCCAGTGGGTCAGAAGTTTACATACACTAAGTTGACTGTGCCTTTAAAAATTCCAGAAAATGATGTCATGGCTTTAGAAGCTTCTGATAGGCTAATTGACATCATTTGAGTCAATTGGAGGTGTACCTGTGGATTTATTTCAAGGCCTACCTTCAAACTCAGTGCCTCTTTGCTTGACATCATGGGAAAAATCAAAAGAAATCAGCCAAGACCTCAGAAAAAAATGTGTAGACCTGCACAAGTCTGGTTCATCCTTGGGAGCAATTTCCAAACGCCTGAAGGTACCACGTTCATCTGTACAAACAATAGTACGCAAGTATAAACACCATGGGACCAAACAGCCGTCATACCGCTCAGGAAGGAGACACGTTCTGTCTCCTAGAGATGAACGTACTTTGGTGCGAAAAGTGCAAATCAATCCCAGAACAACAGCAAAGGACCTTGTGAAGATGCTGGAGGAAACAGGTAAAAAAGTATCTATAACCACAGTAAATCAAGTCCTATATTGACATAACCTGAAAGGCCGCTCAGCAAGGAAGAAGCCACTGCTCCAAAACCGCCATAAAAAAGCCAGACTACGGTTTGCAACTGCACATGGGGACAAAGATCTTACTTTTTGGAGAAATGTCCTCTGGTCTGATGAAACAAAAATATAACTGTTTGGCCATAATGACCATTGTTATGTTTGGAGGAAAAAGGGGGTTGCTTGCAAGCCGAAGAACACCATCCCAACCGTGAAGCACGGGGGTGGCAGCATCATGCTGTGGGGGTGCTTTGCTGCAGGAGGGACTGGTGCACTTCACAAAATAGATGGCATCATGAGTAAGGGAAATTATGTGGATATATTGAAGCAACATCTCAAGACATCAGTCAGGAAGTTAAAGCTTGGTCGCAAATGAGTCTTCCAAATGGACAATGACCCCAAGCATACTTCCAAAGTTGTGGCAAAATGGCTTAAGGACAACAAAGTCAAGGTATTGGAGTGGCCATCACAAAGCCTTGACCTCAATCATATAGAACATTTGTGGGCAGAACTGAAAATGCAAGGAGGCCTACAAACCTGACTCAGTTACACCAGCTCTGTCAGGAGGAATGGGTGAAAATTCACCCAACTTATTGTGGGAAGCTTGTGGAAGGCTACCTGAAACGTTTGACCCAAGTTAAACAATTTAAAGGCAATGCTACCAAATACTAATTGAGTGCATGTAAACTTCTGACCCACTGGGAATGTGATGAAATAAATAAAAGCTGAAATAAATCTCTACTATTATTCTGACATTTCACATTCTTAAAATAAAGTGGTGATCCTAACTGACATAAAACAGGGACTTTTTACTAGGATTAAATGTCCGGAATTGTTAAAAATTGAGTTTAAATGTATTTGGCTAAGGCGTATGTAAACTTCCGACTTCTACTGTAGGCCTACCTACCTGGAAATGACAAGCCATTCCAAACAGTCATTTTAGTCATCATCATCTCAAATATTTTATGAAGCCATTCAATCGTTTTTTTTCTTACCTGTTCGAGTTCGAGTATCAGGGGAAGGTCCCGAGACTGCTTTACCAACTTCTCCATACTGTCCATCTCTCCATGTAATGTCAACCCTTGAGACGCCGCTGTCTGCAGTCCAGCAAACTGTCTTTCAGACAAAGGCCTATCCCCAGGTCGCTGGTTCTGTTTGCTCAATTCTGTCCCGGACTCAGCATCATGGACGAGAGAATTTACACTGAGACAACTGCTGCTACTGGAGACCGGGAGTGGAACGAATTGAGAGGCGAAGGAGTCGTCCACGACCCTGGACCCCCAGACAGAGCGGTGTCGAAGAGACTCAGCCAGGTCTAGGGAGGGGTTCAGGATAACCCCGGCACTGGAGCTGCTTGGCATCCATCGGGCTAGGAAGTTTGTTTGGGACTGCTGAGCCTGCAACCCAACTGGAGATGACATGAAGGTACTCTCCAGACTATGGAGGACTAAAAGTGCCACAATTAAATAAATAAATACACCATTAAATAATTACTTAAATGTGTCATTAATTAATTAAAATTAGAATTAAATACATAAATGTGTAATTAAATGTATCATTAATTAATTCAAATACCGATTCATTTTATGTAAAATACATATATAATTATTTCAATATTTACATTTACATTTCATGATCCTGCATTGCAGTGATTCATGAATTACTTAAAACTGTCAAACTGACCCATCAAAGTCAGTGGGCGGGGCTAACGCGAATCTAGTCTGATCCATTGCTTTGGTCTGAAGTAGAGTAGGCCAACCTGGATAGAGACAATGGAGGATCTCCGTGAACTTTCCAGGGAGTTGGTTAGAGACATTTTAAACTTAGCAGAGGATGTAGAAGCAGGACCTGCTGACATTATCCGGAATTGATTTGTCTTGGCTTGATGCAGAGGGTAACCAATCAGGCGTTAGGTTCCGCCTACCAACTTTTGATGGGTCAGTTTGACAGTTTTAAGTAATTCAGGAAGCACTCCAACGCAGGACCATGAAATGTAAATGTAAATAGTGAAATTATTATATATGTATTTTACATAAAATGAATCGGTATTTGAATTAATTAATGACACATTTAATAACACATTTATGTATTTAATTCTAATTTTAATTAATTAATGACACATTTAAGTAATTATTTAATGGTGTATTTATTTATTTAATTGTGGCACTTTTAGTCCTCCATACCAGACAGGGCTAATCCGAGATTAAATCAGATTTTAGAGACAGGTCAAGAGTAAGAAGGTGTGCCTCATTCAGCATGCACGATCAAGTGGCTAACTACCTAATTTAGCTAGTTATGCATGTCACAGTGTAACGTTAGTTAGGCTTTAGATACAAAAAATGACAGTTTAAAAGGACTGTTGTTGGCAACAGCTTGCTACCTAAGTAACGGTACAGTATAGTTTGCCAACTGTGCATTTCCATTGTGCATTTTACACTAGTTGCAAGAAGTTGTAGATCCCTGAATTGTAAAGTACCTGTAACTAACATGACATATTGTGTGCTAAATGACATATGTTTTATAATGTTGGAAACAACAGATAACTACAACAGCTTGGTTAGCAGGCTAACGCGTTACCTGCCACTGCATTGACAACGCCTTGGTTTGGCTAGCTAACTAGCAAGCTTGCAACAAAGTTTTACCATGTGGCAAGTAAGACAAAAGTTGTGCTTTAATTATATAATGATGGATACATAGCGAACATGCATAACGTACCTTGTTTACATGCGACAAGTACATGTATCCAATGTATTTTCGTTTTGAAAGCACACAACAAATGGGAGTTTCGCGATTTCGAAGCGTGCCGCCACACCAAAACAAAGCCCGCGAGAGAGAGACAAATAGGTCGCATTGTAATCTGGGTAATGTAGTAACTAAGGTTAAATTAATGACCCGGAAGGTGTTTTCAAACACAATTCCAATTGGTCAATTTGAAGTTTCAAGAAGTTCAAACGCATTTGTACTTTTGAACGAATTTGACCATTATCGGAAAGTTTTCTTGATAATGGAGATAGTACTATGCAATACCCACGGTAAATGTGTATATTGTTTGCTTTGACATAGTCAGTGTTATATTGTCATAATGATTATCTTGTTATTCGTGCCTGCTGAAACGAGATGCTTTTCTGAAACGTATGCTGGCTTGCTACTGTAGCTATCTAACGTTAGCAGTTTGGGAACATGGCTCAATGGTGTTTTCTTCATCTCTTGGGGTAGAATATGATGCTAGCCACCTGCCTAATAATAATATTAACATCATTGAGCTATCATATCAGCCAATAACGGTGATAACGTTAGTAAGAGAAAGACGTGTTTTACTGAATATGAACTCATGTTTTCATCTATTTGACTTTACACTAACCAGGCAGCACATGCATGCTGAAGACAGGAGTGAAAGAAGGGCCAAATAAGGGTAAAAGCTTCTACTTGTGCGGGGAGCGTCAACAGGGGTCTCCCTGTGATTTCACCCAAGTAGCAGGGTAAGTGGTTCTCTCATGTCAGTTCATTGATGCATGTTTCTCTTTACTCCTGGAGACATTTCACATGAAGAGCACTAGCTACATCCCAACTGATATCTGACAGTGGCATTCTCAAAAGACATCTAACAAAGTACAGGACTTATACAATAGTCATTTACTGATATGACTGGTCTGTTTTATGGCTATTGTTAGTATCCCGGCCTCCCACTGCCTGCTTCATGAGGATTCTACGGTGGAACTCCAGACTCTCATCCGCAGTCAGCAGCAGCAGGGCTACAGGTATGTCTGTGTGCATGCGTGTGGATGCTACAGGTATGTCTGTGTGCATGCGTGTGGATGCTACAGGTATGTCTGTGTGCATGCGTGTGGATGCTACAGGTATGTCTGTGTGCATGCGTGTGGATGCTTCCTCTAACTTTAGCTATGATCTATGGTTTGCGTTCAGGTGTATTATCATACTGTGTCTCACTCTATTCTCTTCTCAGGTTGTACTACCGATGTGTTTTGGGGAAGAAAGCAGGTCAGAGGTGGTGTGGCAATGTTCCCTGGACTGCGGTAAGCACGTCTAACTACTGGTAATGATGAACATACAGTATGCATTGCCTAGTTCATAGCCTATTACTGTCATGGCAAGCACTTGTTGAATGTGTTTCAAAATGGCTGACTAGTGCTCCACCCCTGCAGCCAGAGGCAGAGAAATGCAGCCCACTGTCTGACAGACAGCTGCAGCCCTCCAGCCTGCCCCCAGAGAGAAATCCATTCAAGGCCCCAGGCAAGACCGACCAGACGTCAGAGTGGAGGAGACTCCAAGATGGAGGGAGACTGGAGGATGAGGGCGAAGGAAAGAATGAGAAAGGTGGAGAGAATGAGAGGCATCACAAGAGTGTAGGTAAAGAAAGCGAACATGGTCGAGGTATGGGGAAGGAGGAGAGGGGGATGTCGAGTCCCTCTGAGTCTTGGAGAGACAAACAGCTTCCAGCAGGGATGAAGATAAAGAAGAGAGTATCAGTTGAGGAGAATAAGAAAAGTGCTGAAACATCACCTGAGGAGAAAGAAAACACTGCCAAGGAGACGAAAGACAAAAACAAGAACTCAAACAAACACAGCCAAAGAGAGGCTGAGAAAAGCCCGAAGCCCCAGGATACAGAGGACACACACAAAGCCTCAAAGGGTAGTCATGGATACTCTCCACGAGAGCCACCAATCAATAGCCTCAAAGAGTCTGGAAAGCATGCTGGGAAAAAGCCAAGCCCAGAGAGGAAGAAGAGCAGCTACTCCGACTCAAATGGCACTACCTCTAAAGACGCCCAGGCACCTAAGAGCACAGAGAAGACCAAAACCCCAATCCCACAATGCGATAAACCAGCGCAGCGACTTTCCACTCCAACAACTGAACAGGATAAGGAGGCAGAGAAAATGACTGCTTCATCATCACAGCAGAGCCAGGACAAGTCCCATCGTGGGAACCAGTTTGGAGAGTGGAGTTCTGATGAAGATGATGTCCAGTTTGTGTCGGTTCAGCCAGGTACACAGACGACGACTCTAGTACCAGTGGCCCTGGTCCAGAAAGCCCTGACATCCTTCCCAGGGTTCCAGCCTGCCTCTCAGGTCAAAGGTCAGCAGGAGGACCCCAGGGCCCTGCACAGCCAACTCACCGCTCAGCTCACACAGAAGAAGGTGAAGGACACCCGTGTGTGTGTGTGTGTGTCAGAATGTACACTGAAATAAATAGTTCATATTTAACTCTCCTTCCCTCTCTCAGGCCACTCTGTCGGTGGTGAATATGTCTGCTCTGCCCGATAAAGGAGAGAGGTTGAAGAGTCAGGTCAAAGACCTGGAGGAGGCACTGGAGTCTCTCAACCTCAGCACTTCCACTGAGCCAGGTAAGACCCTAGCTAGATACTGGACTGTTTGGCTAACCACAACATTGCCTACTGTATTGTCATTGTAGGTACTTCAAACACAATTGAATGTTTGTAATTTAACGGTCTGTTTTTAGAGCCTCAGGGTGGCGATGGTGATGCCAAACCGATGCCCACTCCCAGCCAGTACAACCCATTCAGCTGCCCGGGAGGCACCATCCTCCTGCCCATTGCTCCTGCCCCCCCCCAGTACCAGGCCTCCACCAGCTCAATGGGGCTGCAGCTCAGCCAGGGATACACTCAGATGTATGGAGGTATAGAACAGGGCCACACACACACACTTGGTATTCTTGTATCCTGCTCTAGTCAGATAATCTTCTGTCTGTCCCTGATTGTCCAGTGAACCCCCAGAGCCAAGCGTTCTATGGAGGCAGGATGACAGACAACCGTCTGCTAGCGGTGAAGAATGCCACCTCTGAGGCCATTGACCACCTCCACAGCTCCTTGGAGTCCTGCCCCGACCCCGACACTGAGGTTACGGACCCCAAAGGCATCAAGGCAAGACATCCTTGTACACTACTCAATGCCTCAACCTTTCTAAACCTCATATTGTATATACTCTTGTCTATGGGTATGGTACCCTAATCTGCTGTGATGTTGTGGTCGTTATCATTGGTCAGGTGCCTCTACTGGCCCATCAGAGACGTGCCCTGGCCTGGCTGTTGTGGAGAGAGACACAGAAACCCTGTGGAGGGATCCTGGGTAAGGTCAACCAGCCTGTATATGTAGTTGCTTTGATTGCAGCAGCCCCAGGGGTTTTGTAAGGAGTTGAATGCCCAGAGTATTTCAGAAACGTTCAGAAAATGCTTTAACAACATTTCTCCCCTAATCCTCAGCTGATGACATGGGCCTGGGGAAAACCCTCACCATGATCGCTCTCATTCTGGCCCAGAAGAAGAAAAAGAAGAAGAAGGAGGAGGAGGAGGAGGAGGAAGAGGAAGACACTAAATTGGAAGGCTGGATCTCCAAAAATGGTAATATCAAATGGCATCTTCTCATGTAATTATTAACTCGTATTCTGATATATTTGGTCATGTACAGTTGAAGTCGGAAGTTACATAGACCTTAGCCAAATACATTTAATCTCAGTTTTTCACAATTCCTGACATTTAATCCTAGTAAAAAATTCCCTGTTTTAGGTCAGTTAGGATCACCACTTTATTTTAAGAATGTGAAATGTCAGAATAATAGTAGAGATGTATTTCAGCTTTTATTTCTTCCATCACATTCCCAGTGGGTCAGAAGTTTACATACACTCAATTAGTATTTGGTAGCATTGCCTTTAAATTGTTTAACTTGGGTCAAACGTTTCAGGTAGCCTTCCACAAGCTTCCCACAATAAGTTGGGTGAATTTTGGCCCATTCCTCCTGACAGAGCTGGTGTAACTGAGACAGGTTTGTAGGCCTCCTTGCTCGCACACGCTTTTTCAGTTCTGCCCACAAATGTTCTATAGGATTGAGGTCAGCGCTTTATGATGGCCACTCCAATACCTTGACTTTGTTGTCCTTAAGCCATTTTGCCGCAACTTTGGAAGGATGCTTGGGGTCATTGTCCATTTGGAAGACCCATTTGCAACCAAGCTTTAACTTCCTGACTGTTGTCTTGAGATGTTGCTTCAATATATCCACATAATTTTCCTTCCTCATGATGCCATCTATTTTGTGAAGTGCACCAGTCCTTCCTGCAGCAAAGCACCCCCACAGCATGATGCTGCCACCCCCGTGCTTCACGGTTGGGATGGTGTTCTTCGGCTTGCAAGTCGACCCCTTTTTCCTCCAAACATAACGATGGTCATTATGGCCAAACAGTTCTATTTTTGTTTCATCAGACCAGAGGACATTTCTCCAAAAAGTACGATCTTTGTCCCCATGTGCAGTTGCAAACCGTAGCCTGGCTTTTTTATGGCGGTTTTGGAGCAGTGGCTTCTTCCTTGCTGAGCGGCCTTTCAGGTTATGTCGATATAGGACTTGTTTTACTGTGGAAATAGATACTTTTGTACCTGTTTCCTCCAGCATCTTCACAAGGTCCTTTGCTGTTGTTCTGGGATTGATTTGCACTTTTCGCACCAAGGTACGTTCATCTCTAAGAGACAGAACGTTTCTCCTTCCTGAGCGGTATGACGGCTGCGTGGTCCCATGGTGTTTATACTTGCGTACTATTGTTTGTACAGATGAACGTGTTACCTTCAGGCGTTTGGAAATTGCTCCCAAGGATGAACCAGACTTGTGGAGGTCAATATATTTTCTGAGGTCTTGGCTGATTACTTTTGATTTTCCCATGATGTCAAGCAAAGAGGCACTGAGTTTGAAGGTAGGCCTTGAAATACATCCACAGGTACACCTCCAATTGACTCAAATGATGTCAATTAGCCTATCAGAATCTTCTAAAGCCATGACATCATTTTCTGGAATTTTCCAAGCTGTTTAAAGGCACAGTCAATTTAGTGTATGTAAACTTCTGACCCACTGGAATTGTGATACAGTGAATTATAAGTGAAATAATCTGTCTGTAAACAATTGTTGGAAAAATTACTTGTGTCATGCACAAAGTAGATGTCCTAACCGACTTGCCAAAACTATAGTTTAACAAGAAATTTGTGGAGTGGTTGAAAAACGAGTTTTAATGACTCCAACCTAAGTGTATGTAAACTTCAGACTTCAACTGTATGTAAACAATGTGTATATATATATATATAATGTATTTAGTAACTTGTCTATGATATATTTGTTATACCCTGTATTGTGTTGCAGACTCTAGCCTGGTGGTGTCTCAGGGCACTCTGATCATCTGCCCTGCCTCTTTGGTTCATCACTGGAAGAAGGAGATTGAGAGACACGTCAAGAGCAGCCGACTCAGTATCTACCTGTACCACGGGCCCAACCGCCAGAAGAACGCCAAAGTGTAAGGGGACACACACCCGAGTCATCTGCTTCTCTGAGTTTAACACACTTGTGTCACCTAAAAGACTCTCACACTGTCAAGTGTACAAGTTGATTTTGGCACACATTTTATTTGTTTTCTATTTCCTGCTCTCTGATAGGCTGGCTGAGCATGATGTGGTGGTGACCACCTACAGCCTTGTCTCCAAGGAGGTCCCAGTCCAGAAGGAGGACGCAGAGAAACCTAGCAAGGACTCTGAGGATGCGGTAAGAATAAACACACAGAGATAAACAGTGTGTAATGTATTTATGGTGCTAATGATGCTACGACGACGTCCCATCTCGCTCCCTCTCCCCAGCCATCAGCCCTGCCTCCTCTGATGCGGGTGGCCTGGGCCCGCATTGTGCTGGACGAGGCCCACAACATCAAGAACCCCAAGGTACAGACCTCCTTGGCTGTGTGTAAGCTGAGGGCCATGGCCAGGTGGGCTGTTACTGGGACCCCCATCCAGAACAACCTACTGGATATGTACGCCCTGCTCAAGTAAGTCCATCCATATCTTACTCTACCCTTATATTACACACATCATTACATATTGGACATGTCCAATAACAATACACCCCCTCCACAGAATCCTCTGGGAAAGTCTCTGTCTGTGTTTGTCAGGTTTCTGCGCTGCGCCCCATTTGATGAGTACAAGCTGTGGAAAACCCAGGTAGACAACGGCTCTAAGAGAGGAGGAGAGAGACTTAACATTCTGACCAGAACTCTGCTGCTCCGACGCACCAAAGACCAGATGGACTCTACCGGAAAACCTCTGGTACATGACACACACACACACTTTAGTCCCGTGTAGCTCAGTTGGTAGAGCATGGCGTTTGCAACACCAGGGTTGTGGGTTCGATTCCCACGGGGGGCCAGTATGAAAATGTATGCACTCACTAACTGTATGTCGCTCTGGATAAGAGCGTCAGCTAAATGACTAAAATGTAAATGTAATGTGGATTATGAGCTGACTTGATTTCCTTCTTCATTTTCCAGGTGAATCTGCCAGATCGGACCTGTGAGGTGCATCGCCTGAAGCTGTCTGAAGAGGAGCAGTCTGTTTACGATGTGGTGTTCGCACAGTCCAGGTAACAACTGTCTGATTGGTATCAGAAACCTCTCTCTCTGGGTCTATGGCTTATGACACCTGGATGACTGATTCTTTGAACTTTTTCTCCTAGGTCCACTCTGCAGAACTATCTGAAGAGACATGAGGGCGACACCGGTAAAAAGGGAGACAACTCCAATCCCTTCGACAAGGGTAAGGGAGGTCAACTTTCTTTCTGTTTAAAAAAGGTATCTGTTTGTGTGTCTTTGAACAGAATACCAATGTGTGTTCTTATTGTGTATGTGTGTCGTCGTCGTCGTCGTACTTCCCCCCCCAGTGGCCCGGGAGTTTGGAGTGTCCCAGACGGACTCTGTGTCCTCGTCCCAGGGCCCCACCAGCACTGTTCACATCCTGTCTCTATTGCTCCGACTCAGACAGAGCTGCTGCCATCTGTCTCTGTTGAAGAAGGTACACACACACTTCTACCTGCGCTCCTCTCTTTGATCTCTGGGGTCTATGGAACAGGCATCTGTTGTTTTTACCTGCTGCTCTTCTCTGTGTGTGTCTTGCTCCACAGACTCTGGGTAAGTTTAGTCTGTCTTTACCTGGTGTTCTCTTTGTGTCTTATTCAAAGACCCTGGATCCGTCTGAGCTGCAGGGGGATGGGATCACTCTCTCCCTTGAGGAGCAGCTCAATGCCCTGTGCCTCTCCTCCGAGCCCTCAGGCCCCGACCTCAAAGCCACCGTGTCCCTCAACGGGAGCCAATTCGCCTCCGATCTCTTCGAGGACACCCACGAGAGCACCAAGGTGATGTCAACTGCCCCTCTGTACACTAAAATGTTTGTTTTTATATGGTTATCCTGTCATCTATATACTCTACTACCTGCTTTATTCTCTTAATGTTCTTGTTTCAGATCGCTGCCATTCTCACAGAGCTAAAGGAGATCAGGCAGCAGAGTGAGGCTCAGAAAAGGTATAACCACACACTTAAATGTAGCCCGTTCAGACTACAAATGTTTGATGTCATCTGGATGATGTAGTCCTGGTCAGACATACAGTGAGGGGAAAAAAGTATTTAGTCAGCCACCAATTGTGCAAGTTCTCCCACTTAAAAAGATGAGAGAGGCCTGTAATTTTCATCATAGGTACACGTCAACTATGACAGACAAAATGAGGAAAAAAAATCCAGAAAATCACATTGTAGGATTTTTAATGAATTTATTTGCAAATTATGGTGGAAAATAAGTATTTGGTCAATAACAAAAGTTTCTCAATACTTTGTTATATACCCTTTGTTGGCAATGACACAGGTCAAACGTTTTCTGTAAGTCTTCACAAGATTTTCACACACTGTTGCTGGTATTTTGGCCCATTCCTCTATGCAGATCTCCTCTAGAGCAGTGATGTTTTGGGGCTGTCGCTGGGCAACACGGACTTTCAAACTCCCTCCAAAGATTTTCTATGGGGTTGAGATCTGGAGACTGGCTAGGCCACTCCAGGACCTTGAAATGCTTCTTACGAAGCCACTCCTTCGTTGCCCGGGCGGTGTGTTTGGGATCATTGTCATGCTGAAAGACCCAGACACGTTTCATCTTCAATGCCCTTGCTGATGGAAGGAGGTTTTCACTCAAAATCTCACGATACATGGCCCTATTCATTCTTTCCTTTACACGGATCAGTCGTCCTGGTCCCTTTGCAGAAAAACAGCCCCAAAGCATGATGTTTCCACCCCCATGCTTCACAGTAGGTATGGTGTTCTTTGGATGCAACTCAGCATTCTTTGTCCTCCAAACACGACGAGTTGAGTTTTTACCAAAAAGTTATATTTTGGTTTCATCTGACCATATGACATTCTCCCAATCCTCTTCTGGATCATCCAAATGCACTCTAGCAAACTTCAGACGGGCCTGGACATGTACTGGCTTAAGCAGGGGGACACGTCTGGCACTGCAGGATTTGAGTCCCTGGCGGCGTAGTGTGTTACTGATGGTAGGCTTTGTTACTTTGGTCCCAGCTCTCTGCAGGTCATTCACTAGGTCCCCCCGTGTGGTTCTGGGATTTTTGCTCACCGTTCTTGTGATCATTTTGACCCCACGGGGTGAGATCTTGCGTGGAGCCCCAGATCGAGGGAGATTCAGTGGTCTTGTATGTCTTCCATTTCCTAATAATTGCTCCCACAGTTGATTTCTTAAAACCAAGCTGCTTACCTATTGCAGATTCAGTCTTCCCAGCCTGGTGCAGGTCTACAATTTTGTTTCTGGTGTCCTTTGACAGCTCTTTGGTCTTGGCCATAGTGGAGTTTGGAGTGTGACTGTTTGAGGTTGTGGACAGGTGTCTTTTATACTGATAACAAGTTCAAACAGGTGCCATTAATACAGGTAACGAGTGGAAGAAGTTACAGGTCTGTGAGAGCCAGAAATCTTGCTTGTTTGTAGGTGACCAAATACTTATTTTCCACCATAATTTGCAAATAAATTCATAAAAAATCCTACAATGTGATTTTCTGGATTTTTTTGCCCTCAATTTGTCTGTCATATTTGACGTGTACCTATGATGAAAATTACAGGCCTCTCTCATCTTTTTAAGTGGGAGAACTTGCACAATTGGTGGCTGACTAAATACTTTTTCCCCCCACTGTATATAGAAGAGCTTGATAGACAACTGAAGTCCATGACGAATAAAGGTTTATTGGTAATAGAAAATGTTTCCCTCACGGTAGGGTGGGGTATGCAAAATAGGTCAACGTTCAACACCTCTATCTCCTATCACCTCTGGCCTGCTGGCTCCCCTTCCTCTGCGGAAGCATAGTTCCCGCTCAGCCCAGTCAAAACTGTTCGCTCTACTACCCCCCCCCCCCCCCCCCCCCCCCCCCCCAAAAAAAAAAAAAACTATTGTAAAGTGGTTATCCCACTGGCTATAGGGTGAATGCACCAATTTGTAAGTCGCTCTGGATAACAGCGTCTGCTAAATGACGTAAATGTAATGTAAATGAATGTTTTGGCATTCAGGTTCAAAAGGTCACTTTCTGACCACTTCCACCATGGTTAAACATGTTTGGAAGGTTTCGTTCAAATCTGAAGGGGTGCAGTCAGAAAGTGATTGAATGCATGTGTCGTTATGTTGTAGTTTGATTGTACAATAATCATATAAGATAATCATCCATTGTCTTTGTCTGTCAGTGTGATCGTGTCCCAGTGGACCAGCATGCTTCGCGTCGTGGCCGTCCACCTGAGGAGAATGGGCCTGAGCTTCGCTGTCATCGACGGCACTGTCAACCCCAAACGCCGCATGGACCTGGTCGAGGAGTTCAACACCAACCCTAAAGGACCACAGGTATCGTATGGACAACCGTGACCATAAAATACAGTGAAAGGCTCGACCTACTGTAAGCTTTGGATACAGTGTAGGGGCAGAGTTTAGACAATGTTTCTGTTTTGTGTTTCTAGGTGATGCTGGTGTCTCTGTGTGCTGGAGGAGTGGGCATTAACCTGGTTGGAGGGAACCACCTCTTCCTCATGGACATGCACTGGTGAGACCCACAACACACACACCCATCCACCACTACCAGCTGAGTGTTCTTTATTGATTTATACTGTGGTTTTGTCAGGAACCCAGCTCTAGAGGACCAGGCCTGTGACCGCATCTACAGAGTGGGTCAGCACCGAGACGTCACCATTCACAGGTAAGAGCATGCTTGGTTGCAAAGATACTGTAGGAAAATCACATTGACATATTTCGAGGTTGTGCCCTGTTGGATAAAGCTTAGATAAAGACATTGTATAAAGCTGATGTGAGTGATTTACACAGGCATGTGTGTCCCTGTAGGTTTGTGTGTGAGGGCACAGTGGAGGATAAGATCTCCACTCTGCAGGAGAAGAAGAAGGAGCTCGCACAGAAGGTGCTGTCAGGGACTGGAGCCTCCTTCACCAAGCTCTCCCTGGCTGACCTCAGGGTCATCTTTGGGGTCTGACGACCAGGAAGTTAGGGTGGTGGGGGCAGCCAGACTGAGGACCAGGTAGTATGCTAGATTTATGTTATGGTTGTAAAAGGTTCACACTTGCTGTATATATGAATCTGGTTGATGAAAACCCCCCTTTGCTCTTGTTGGCTACTGAGCCCTACACTACATATTGGCACACAGTGTGGCTAATGTGGTTGGCACTACTTTGCTGTAATGCGCTGGAATGCTTTGCTGCTACTATTCTCTATATGGTCTTCTGGCAGGTTGCAGAACCTCAGGCCTACTAACTGTGTACTGTTTTATTTCCCATATCCTGCGCTCTGTTTTCACATACTGTATTCCATGTGTTATGACAAGGGCCTTGAGTTTCTCCTGGTCAGGTCACATGGTATTTTCATTGAATACATTTAAGTGTAATTTATAGGACTGACTTGTATCTCTGCTGGGTCATGTTATTTCTAATCCTAATTATTTTTTACATGTTATGTTGTGTCTGTAAACTGCTAGTGTTTGATTATGATGACTTCCTCAAGGATGTGGATGTTTTTGAATAAAATATTATTCATTACAGTTGATCAAACTGCTTATTTGGAGTATGAAAAGTTGCATGAATTACGTAAAAACAATCACTGCAATGGGTGAAAATATGTATTTTTAGATTTTGAATTAATAACAAAAATAAACAAAAAGTTGCTGTTTTAACAGAAAGCATCCTAAATAATCCACCAGTGAAAATGACCCAGGGTCTTCATAAATCACTATGAGAATCATTTTTAGTGGCAAATAGCAGATAATGATCCATCTGACTGGTGATTCCCCAGTTTTGTTATGAATAATACAGACAATACAATCAGTAATCATACAAATGTACAGCCAGATGTATTACAAAAGTAGGTGTTATGACTTTGGCTGTTTGAAAATATCCTGGTTAAAACCATACCCAGTTCCAAGTTTTTCGAACCTGAGATGATGGAATGATTGTCCCACTGAATGAGAAAGTCCCTAAACCACCAGTCAAATTATTTAGAATAAAACTCAGGCATGTTAACTCAGACAAGTACATACAGGGGAGGGGTCATGGAGTAATATTTAATTCTTAACAACACTAGAAATATACAATTTCATGAAATACACATTGCTCAAGCTAAAATGTTCAGTAGCGTTAGGCTACCGGCAATATTAATCAATTTGCTGATGTTTTAAGTTATGTAAAATCTGGTGCTCAACATTTTTGGATTTGCCTTTTTCTGAGGTTGCTGACTGATATTGCTTACATTCAACCACCTTTCTCACCTTGCAAAACCAGGGGTTATTAACAACCAATATTTTCCACTGGCAATAACATTTTGTAAGGAAACTTTACATGTTAATTATGTGATTTATTTTACATTTCTCGTGATGAGAAAACATTCCTCTTCCGACCTGTCAGAGCAGTCTTCCGGAGGTTCTGTCTCATGATAATAGTTCTGATCAGTCTGTAAGGATGCTTCATCTGAACATCCATGTTCATCTTGATGCTCCAAGCCTCCATTCTGGGGTCCACTCTGAGAGCCTCCATTAATGCTTTCTTCACTCCGAGGTCATCCACTCTGTGTGCCTTCACTCAAGAGTGTGTTCATCCTATGAGCGTTCTGATTCTAGTTGATGCATTGCTCTGTCCTCTTCCTCCTTGTCTTTTTGTCTTCAGCCTCTTCATAGTACACATCATACAGATATTCCCGATATGACTTGCCTCTGGATGTTACCAAAACCCACGCAGCCAAGATAACTGTCAAAATACTCAATCCTAATGTCTGAAAGTAATGAGGATATTCATAATTAGAAAATTATTTCCCATAAGCTACAGTACATTAATTAAATAGGTTACTTACCCGAGAATACATTACATAGCGACGGAATGTTGCTGCTTCTTCTTTTGTCCAGTCTTTTGGATCTTTGCATGATAGTTGCTCTTTGGTGTTTACAGATAGGCAACACACGAACCAGTCTCCATCAATGAGTGCTGTTATCACCCATAAAAGTCCAGCTGATAATGACCTCAGGAAAAGCATTGCGCAACGAACAAAACTGCATTCACCTCTACAGATTTTCATGCGCTGTGGGTCCATCAGCATCAGGGCAAAAAACAATATAAGAAAAGGCAGCAACATATAAAATATGCAGGCTATTTTGTTATAATACGGCTGACAAGGACAGGTGAAGTCCAGTTTGAAAATGTACTGGAAAATGATGAAAAAGGCAACAATGCCAAAAGCACTGTAGCCTGTAGCAAACAACTTAATAAATAATTCAGAGTTTAGGAGTGGGTGATCATGCGCTGGCATATCAGCTCAAATAAGGACACTTCCTCAGGGTCAAAAAGATGTATGGAGATCTGTGTATCATGCGATGGTTCTTTTTATAGCTATAGCTTAAAAGGTGGGGTTACTGGGGTAAGATGCCGTATTTCCCCTTATGGAAACTGGCCTAAGACATTTTCGATACAGCCCACAGGTTTCACTTACTTGCTACAATTTGCCAGTGGTATGCATTCTTCTCACCTGTATGTTTTTGTTTTTAAAAGGCAACACTCAGTTTTACTTTCTTTTTGAATGCTTGATTAACTTTTCTCCCCTTTATAGTGAAATATTACATCAAACAACAACTTAAAAAGGGCCAATCCCAACTAACTGCAGTTGAGATTATATTAAAAGTACGTACCCTATGCATAGTGCAAGTGATTTGAGATTATTATAACAATTGTAAAGATCTCCAGAGACACGCAACCTTTGCTTGCTATCTTGACCATGCCTGCTTTCTATGATTACATAAGAGTACATTATAGTTACAGTACTCTCAATGTGGCCATGGATGTGTTACTCATTAGGCTATTTACTGTATTACAAAAGTAATATTGAATTGTGTATGGTTGAGAACGCAACAAAATAAACTTTTAAAGGAGATGCATCTACTGCTTGGATAGTTTATTCTGAGCCACTAGCTTAATCCTCTTAACTTTTATTTTTGGTTGAGTTGGAGACGTGAATCCAACATATCATCTGTTAACTTGTCGACAAGTTAACAGGCTATTTACTATTGCAAAAGTTATTTTGAACTGTGTTTAGTTGACAACGCAACCAAATATCAAAATGTATCTTCTACTTAGATAGTTCCATCTGTGCCACTGACTTGTCTGGCTTTAATTCCAGTTTGACTACAAATTAATCATTGATATGTTCGATTCACGTCTCCATCTCAACCAAAAATCTACGTTAAAGAATAGGACTAAATCAAATCAAACTTTTGCTATGAGAGATGGGTTTATTTACAGAGCAATTCAGTTGAGCAATTCTTGTTGACATATCAGTGCAACGTAATGTAGTGTGACCTAGGTTATTCTGAATGTTTGAAGCCCACATTATCAACAATTTGAGACAGAAATCACTCTTATGGGATAGACTTTTCACACAGCCTCACAATATAGCACATGCTTTTCTACAGTCTAGCCAACTATGGAAGGTTTGTTTTAATCTGATCATGTTTTCTTTATACAGTGAGGTCAGTATATATGACACATTTTAGTTGTTTTGGCTCTGTACTCCAGCACTTTGGATTTGAAATGATAACATGACTGAGGTTAAACTGCAGACTATTGGCGTTAATTTGAGGGTATTTTCATTCATATAACAGAACTTTTAGCAGTCCCCCCATTTTAGGGTACCAAAAGTATTTGGACAAATTCACTTACACAGAGTATACCAAACATTAAGAACACCTTAATATTGAGTTGCAGGCCCCCCTTTTGCCCTCAGAACAGCCTCAATTATTTGAAAGCGTTCCACAGGGATGCTGGCCCATGTTGACTCCAATGCTTCCCACAGTTGTGTCCTTTTGGGTGGTGGACATTCTTGATACACACGGGAAACTGTTGAGCGTGAAAAACCCAGCAGCGTTGCAGTTCTTGACACAAACCGGTGCACCTGGCACCTACTACCATACCCGGTTCAAAGGCACTTACATTTTTTGTCTTGCTCATTCACCATCTGAATGTCACAGATACAAAATGCATGTCTCAAGGCTTAAAAATCATGATTTAACCTGTCTCCTCCCCTTCATCTACACTGATTGAAGTGGATTTAACAAGTGACGTCAATAAGGGATCATAGCTTTCACCTGGATTCACCTGGTCAGTCTATGTCATGGAAAGAGCAGGTGTTTTTAATGTTTTGTACACATATGTGTATTAAAGTAGTCAAAAGTTTACTATTTGGTTTCATATTCCAAGCACCAAATGACTAAATCAAGCTTGTGACTCTACAAACTGTTTGGATGCATTTGCAGTTTGTTTCGGTTGTGATTGATTATTTTGTGCCCAATAGAAATGAATGGTAAATAATGTATTGTGTAATTTTTGTCAGTTTTATTGTAAATAAGAATATAATGTTTCTGAATACTGCTACATTAATGTGGATGCTACCATGATTACGGATAATCATGAATGAATCGTGAATAATAATGAGAGAAAAGGTTAGAGGCACAAATAGGGCTGTGGTGGTCATGAAATTTTGTCAGCCGGTGATTGTCATGCAAATAACCTCCGGTTTCACTGTAAATGACCGTTAATTAACAAACACGTTTAGCATCTCCTGGCTTCCCCGCGTATCCTACAAGCCACTGATGCAGACCCTTGGAACATCTACATTTTAAAAAGTCTAAATCCATTTAATATATCCTACACCATCACAATAAAGCCATTATTTATTTTAGGTCTAAAGAAACATGATATGAAGAAAATGTAGTCTATTTCAGAAGAACAGAATAGCATACTATGAGTTGTCCTTATGTTAGGCCCTGATCTGGCTATGCCATATGGCTGTGTACTACACTAGTTAATTTAGCAGACAAGATTTGCTTAGAATTCTGTGGCATTATATTATTTTATAGTATGAAAAATACAATTGAACATAGCTGAATAAAATAGAAAGGATATTTTCTCCAAATGATTTCCAAGGGAGTGCGTACATGCGGCTATTCTGTGTTGACCTATACGCTTAATTTAGTTATTTATGCAACTTTAGTTGTGATACAAACATTGGGCTATATGTATAGATGTTTTAAACATTCTAATGATGATTTGAAAAAAGTCCCATGAAAGGCATGAGCTCTGCTTTGTTTGAGCAGGCTGCACACACTTAATCAGTCTCTCATTCACAATTTGACAAGCACTTGATAATATTCTCACCAGGCCTCACATTTACCCGGCGGCATCCCCCTTGTTTTCACGGGACATCCTTTGTGTGCAGGCGCTTGCACACATTTAGGCGGCTCATGAGTTTCAAGTTTGGGGAAGCTTATAATTTATCCTACTATTTCTACCGATCTGCATGCCAGTTATGAATATTTATAAATGCACATTTTCGGGGAACAGTTTTAAATTTCAATAATAAAGTTTTTGTTTCTCTAAATCATTGTCCTGTGGTTAATCATACAAATCTGAAGTAAAATGATAAATCTAAAAGTTCAAATTCAACTATGGCAGAGCACTAGCCTCTGCCATATGGACACATTGATCTACTGTGATCCATTGGCGG